GAATAATTACGCATGTGGTTCCACTTAGGAGAGATATTCTCATTGCTTAAAAGTATTAACCGTGGGTAGATAAATTTGGAGATTAAGTTTTACGCGCGGGTTTCCATTGTCCTCTTTCTTCACTGCACACCTGTAGCTCCGTCTGTAGGAACGCTTGGGTTTCTGTACGTAATAATCGTACTCCTATCCGCTCCAAATCATTCGCGGAGTGTCACTTTGAGGAGGATTACCGAGGATTTATGACAAAAACGCTCAAATCTTTTCCACTTTCTCCGCGTAAAATGCGCCACTTTTGAAATAACAACAAAAAGATGTCCTGCAAGTTATATTTCAGTCAATATGCAGGAGCCTATGTTTTAAATGAAATAAAATGTCAATAGAGTTCAGATTATAACTCTGCCAAACGCTTATCCAAACTTTTACGCACGATGTTTGCCATGTTTTCTGTTCGTAAATCCAAACTTTTACGCACAACTTTAAACGTCTATCATACCATGTTCCCAGAAAGACTCATTCTTGCCACACACCTTTGATAATTTTTCAAGTAGGCTCTTAAACCACATTATTTTACACAGATGTATACATTTACAATTAAACTGACACTACCAAATTACGCTTATCCAAACTTTTACGCACGAAGTTAGCCATGTTTTCTGTTCGTGAGTAATAGACTAGACAGCAATGTTATATAGAGATATAACACATATAATAAGTAAGTCTAGTCACACAATTTAGATTCTTTTTTTTTTCAAGTAGGCTCTTAAACCACATTATTTTTATACAGATTTATTCATTTACGATTAAACTGACAGTAACAAATGACGCTTATCCAAACTTTTACGCAAAACTTTAAACGTCTATCATACCATGTTCCCAGAAAGACTAATTCTTGTCACACATCTTTGATAATTTTCAAGAAGCCTATTAAACCTCATTCTTTTATACAGATTAATACAATTACAACTAAACTGACAGTAACAAATGACGCTTATCCAAACTTTTACGCACGAAGTTAGCCATGTTTTCTGTTCGCAAGTGAGTAACAGACTTGCCAGCAATGTCATATAGAGATATAACAGATAAATATAAGTAATTCTAGTCACACAACTTTTATATTTTTTCAAGTAAGCTATAAAACTAAAGTATTTTATACAGATTAATTCATTTACAATTAAACTGAAAGTAACAAATGACGCTTATCCAAACTTTTACGCACGAACCGCAGTCATGTTTTCTGTTTGTAAGTGACTAATAGACTAGGCAGCAATGTATATAGAAATAATAGATGTATATATAAGTAATTCTAATCACACAACTTAGATATTTTTTCAAATAAACTATTAAACCAAAGTATTTCATAGAGATGTATTCATTTACACTTAAAATGACAGTAACAAATGACGCTTATGCAAACTTTTACGTACAACTTTAAACGTCTTGCATACAATGTTCACAGATAATTCTCGTCACACACCTTTGATAATACTTCAAGTGGGCTATTAAACCAAAGTGTTTTATATAGATGCATATATTTACAATTTAATTGAGTTTAAATGAATAATATTCGGGAATGAAGCTTATCCAAACTTTTACGCACGAACACCTGTTTCTGTTCGTAATTAATAAACGTGTTGCAGACAGTGTTCACATTATGGACTAATTCCTGTCGCACTAAATCAACTATTAAACCAAATTACTTTATACAAATTTATGCATTTACTCGCTGTGCCAGTCGTTTACAAATAAATAATGTGTTTAAATTGTAAATATGTGTTTTTATGAGCCACAGCGAGTTAAATTATCTCAGCATTTGAACATTTGTGTGTGCGTATTTCTAGGCTATTTTCACGCAAATTCTTGTCCTTCAAAACTGTGTGTGGCTCGGTTCCTCGGCGTATTTTCGGACATATGTAGCTATACAACCTCCCCTATTTCCCTCGCTGTTATTATTCCGATCGTCTAAGCGCTCAAATTGTGTTCCGGGTTTCACAAAGATGCCTCGCGCGCGGCTGATTAACGTGGAGGAGACGTGAGGAGAGAGGTGTGCGCGTGAGGCGGTATCCGAATGCGAAAGGAATACCAAAATGTGCGGCTCCCGAGTTTAATTTAAGCACAAAACGTGGACGTATTTGCATTTGACTGAACCTGTTGTCGAAGCGATAGAATGGAGCGTAAAAGGCGACAGTAACTTGGACTGTGTGTGAATGTTTATCGGTTAAAGTTGTGGTTAAGAGTCCCAGACGAAATGCAAATTAAATATGATCATTACGCGTAAAAATATACCGATTATTGTTAATTTCCGAGCAGATAAATAAGACTTGATGTGCAAATAAAGTGTCAGTGAGTGTGTGTTGGTGCGGTTTTTGTTTTGTTTTTTAATCAAAGAAAACCGAGAATTAAAAGGGTAATATGACACTTTTCTGGTGATGTTAACGCGTTTCCATGAATGTCCCACAGTGAGTATGACACAGAACTTGTCAATCTCCATGGAGACAAGCAGGCGACTCCACCGGGCCCAGTTACAGGTCAGATCTGCGGAGAGGTGACCCCGCTTACTGCAGAATACACGATTTATCAAAACATTTAAAAGCAATATAAACACAAAAGTGAATACATGCTGGATAGACACATTTAATGCCATACTGCGGAACATTTGAATCAAAGTGATGGTTACAAACAAAGTGGCGGAACCCCCAAACTAAAAAGTTCCACAGTTCATCTTTAAGAATTAAGAATGATAGTATGAGGGTGTCGTGTTATTGTGCGTAAAAATGAGTTATCGTGCGTAAAAATGAGTTATTGTGCGTAAAAATGAGTGAAATTTGGCACATTTTTAAAACTTAAAGACCCGAACAGTGGTGGCGTCTTCATAACTTTGTCTAACTCATTTCAATTAATTGATTTTGAACCCAAACCTTTGCTAATTAAGTCCTCCCGCGTTGTGTTTCGCGGATACCTGTTTAACGCGCGTAAAAGCGGAACAGTGCCTCGTTTTGTTGGCTAATTGTCGGGCATAAATCTTTCATGGCGCGGCTGGAAGTGTGCCAAGCCTCCGCCGTGTTTTATGGTAATGTGTGGATACGGCTCCTTGTTTGAAAACCAAATCCAAGCGCGCATTTTGTGGATTCTTTTTTTGCCCCGAAGAAATGACTTAATCAGGACCGAAGAAGCGAATTTTAATTTAGAAACGTAATTATACTAAAACATAAGTGTATCTTAGTTTTTGGGGAGTAGTTACGTAATTACCATGGGTAGAAATATGATTTAAAATGTGGGGAATTGTTTAAAAAAGGGGCAGTAAATGCGTTTAATCTACAATACTGTATATATTGGTGTCGTCCTGGTTTAGTTCTGGTTTAGACTTGTTTTCAAAATCCTTATTGTCAAAGTGTAAGATGGATTCCACAAGTCCGGGTTTAGTTCTCAAAAAGTTCTTTTCAAAATGACACGGTTTAAGTACTGCGCCTTGTTGCGTGTCGTGCGTAAAAAGCGCGCAAACTGGTGAAACAGCGCACGCATGTTGACCTTTGAACTCACGTAGTTCATGTTTCAAATTCGCAAGGGTTGAATTTCGGGATTTCAGACACGGTGAAATCACGTTTACGATGTGCGAACAGAGATTGTATCCGTGTGTCGTTTTTTTGGACAGCGTCGACTTGCGTAAAAAAAAGGGGGAATCCGTGAGAAGGAATGGTCCGCGTTTGGTCCGCGCTTGCGTTGTCAATAAAGCTGTCAATTCCTGGTGTTTGTCAAAATGTGTCAATTTGAAATCTGGTTCGTATCAGACGCTTTTACGCACAAGCAGTAAGGAATTCCAGAGCTGTGTGCTCTCGGTCTGACAATAACCTGGCGTATTTCTTGTCAAATTCCTCTATAGTTTTCAATTCTAGAGTTGGTTTAAATTCAGATTGATTTGTACAGCTCAAAAACACAATAATAAAATGCGTGGTGTGGTGTGCCAAGCCGTGACCAGCCGTGACACCGTGCGTAAAAGTGCGTGTCTAATCCAAGTTTTGTCCCTAAACAAGTCTTTAAAATGTACTTATGGGGTCAAATTTGGGGTCGTTGTGAAAAAAAACATTCACTCTTGAAATATTTTGTGAAATATAATCCTATTTAGGCAAGATTCTGTTTCAAAATACGTCCTGGAAATTACTCAAATTGAGTGTAAAATGTCAACAAGTCTCTTTTATTTTAGGCATCGAAATGGGGAAAAATACGCATGCCTCTTCTTGTTGAAATCGATCCCGGAGGTCCTGACATTTACGCGTTCGCAGATCTGGTTTGATAAGTTTATATTTTTGTTATTCTTATTATTAGAGTCTCTTTTTATCACAATGCCAAGTCAGATCCAAATGTAAAGTGAAATAAACCAGGGTAATGCCAAGCGTGAAAATGTGTCCAAACTGAGCGCTGGTTTGGAGTATTTCAAGGTTTAATTCCTCTTTATTCTGCCTCCCGATTTGTCATTTAAGATTATTTTAAGAACTATTTTAACCCTGGTTTAACCCTTAGCTTTGGTAGATCTCCCTGGGGCTTTGGAAATGTCTTCAAAAAGAACATTATTAAGTCTAGCAAAGTGCAGGACCAAAAGACACAAAGACAGTTTCTCCATTGTGTGTGTGTGTTTTTTAATAAAGTCACTCGGCGCAATTGATAGTTTTGTTCATTTTTGTTTGTTGATTGATGCTTTTTAACCACTGCAAGACAAATTTACCCAAGGATGCAAATAAAGACACCTTAAACCAAACACGCCGGTGCGTCCAGTGACTAAAAATGTTGATCTTTTATTCTTATTTTAATTGTTGTTATTGATATTTGTATGCGCACTGAGGGATTGTTTATTTGTTTGTAGCACTTTGGAATCGTTATAAAAGCTTATAAAATTTGCTGTATAAATGAAGTGGCTTGGACAAATCAGGGTGTCCTCCTCCTCCTTTTGCGTGTCTCTGGTTCAGTCCAAACGCGCGTACACACCGACCCCCGCGCGTCTCACTCACCTCTGCGCCGCGGTGTTGGCGTCCAGGATCCCCGTGCTCTGCATCCAGCCGCGCACCGGGGTCATGCCCGTGGGCAGCGGCTCCTCCTTCATGGTCAGCGCCCCCCGCGGCAGTCCGTCCTGGATGGAGAACATGTCCGGCTCCTTCTCCGGCCGAAGCAGCAGCGGAGAACCAGCGCAGCAATCCCCCCGCCAAGAAGAGACGCGGAGCTCGGCTTTATCTCTCGCCTTTGTCAGTCGACGCTTCAGACCAGTCCCGTTATCTCCTCCCGGCGGCTACTGGAGCTCATTGTCTTGATTAAAACACATGTTGAAATCACAAATATTGCGCCTTTTCTGTGTAAAGTTTGCGTAAATGCTTTTATTGCGTCTGGTTTATTTACCGAGACAAACTTAACCTGCGTAAAAGTGGCGTTTTTGGTGTCCCGTTAGTTCATGCAAAAGTGGAAAGTTCTGGTATTTCAATTCAAAATAGGTAAAGGCTTTAAAATGATGTCAAAACTTTACATTATATCGCATTGTTTCGTGTCAAAGTTCACAAATATACTCTTTAGGTTGTATAATTTGGATAACCGTGCGTAAAAATCCCGGGTCTGGTGATGCTTGGGCGTAAGAGGCTCCAGGGATCAAACGGGAGGCAGAAAACCTTCAGAAATGCGTCCAAAGTCGCGCCGAATTCCCCGAAGCGTGAGCTAAAAGCGGAGGACCACCTGGATTAGAACAGGTCCCAAAGTCCCGAGTCCTGGTCCTGGTCTAGAGCGCGGTCCGGATCCCAGTGGGCTTGTTCCTGGCTTGTGTTTTAAGATCCCGGGCGCGTTTTGAGAGCGCTTCAAACGCCCAAAGAGCTGCACAACAGAGGGGAGCGGCACCGGGAAGGATCAGCGGGGCAAGAACTGGAGTGTGGCCGCCTCTGGAGCACCTCTGAGCGGGGGTACAAGGCGCGCGTAGAGCCGGGGATCACAGCAGCTTTGGAGCACAGCAGCGGCGCCGAGAAATGAAAAGTGGGATAAAAAACAGGCTTCAAAAAGGAGTAAAATGGAGAGATTAGACGGAGGAGGAGGGCCGGGCCGTGGCAGGGCTGCTCGGGCGCGCTCCCGGGGGAAAGGCGGATTGGGCAGCGGCGGAGCTCTTCCCCTCCCTCCCCGACTCTTTATGGCTCCAGCGTCCCGGCGGAGAGCCTCTTCTCCCGGCCACAGGACGAGGGGAATCCCGGGGGACCCTCGTGGAGCGGAGGGGGCGGGCAGAGCACCAAATAAGGGCATGTCCTACGTCACCCGACCACACCTCTCGTCTCCGATTGGACGGTTCGCGCGAGAAACGTCAGAGGCAACACCAAATATGGTTTTCCCGCGTGTTTTGGTGCGGGATGGCAGCGCGAGGGAAACACGAGAGCGCACGGGCCAAATATCCACAGAAGAGGCACGAGGAGAGGCGCGCGGTGCCAGAAAAGACAAATGTGCACGATATTAAATGTTTTTTTTTTTTTTTTTTTATTTTATGTCTAATGTTCATAGAGTCATACACGTCATTTTTAACAGAACGGAGAAAACAAAAGCTTTAAGAGAAGATTCTACAGTGCGGATTAAAGCAGAACTAAACCAGGACTAAAGCAGGACTAAAGGACGTCCAAACTGGAATAACGGATGTTCATCACCGAGCCTCGGGTCTGTCTGAACCAGGATTAAACCAGGATTAAACCAGGACTAAAACCAGGACTAAATCAAGACTAAACCAAGACTCAACCAGGACTAAACCAGGACTAAACCAGGACTAAAGCACGTTCAACCTGGAATAATGGATGAACCACACCTAAATTAAGATCTGAACGACTAGAATTAGGCCTAGGATTAAACCATAACTAAACCAGGACTAAACCAGGCCTAAACCAGAACTAAACCAGGACTAAACCAGGCTTAAACCAGAACTAAACCAGGTCTAAACCAGGACTAAACCAAGACTAAAGCACATCCAACCTTGAATAATGGATGAACCACACCTAAATCCAGGTCTGAACCAGTAGACTTGGGCCCAGGACTAAACCAGGACTAAACCAGGACAAAAGCATGTCCAAACTGAAATAAAATAAATAAAACCATACTCAAATCCAGGACTGAACCACTAGTCTCGGGTCTGTCTGAATTAAAATTAAACCATGATTAAGACAGGACTAAACCAAGTCTAAACCAGGATTAAAGCAAATCCAAACTGGAATAATTAATGAATGAAACCTAAATCTAGGGCTAAACCACTAGTCTTGGGCCCAGTATTAAACGAGGTCTAAACCAGGATTAAACCAAGACTAAACCAGGACTAAAGGATGTCCAAACTGGAATAATGGATGGACAACACCTAAATCCAGGTCTGAACCACTAGTCTCGGGTCTGTCTGAATCAAAATTAAACCAGGATTAAGACAGGACTAAACCAGGACTAGCCCAGGTCTAAACCAGATCTAAAACAGGTCTAAACCAGGACTAATCCAAGACTAAACCAGGATTAAAGCATGTCCTAACTGGAATAAGGGATGAACCACTAGAATCAGGCCTAGGGTTAAACCAGAACTAAACCAGGACTAACCCAGGTCTAAACCAGGTCTAAACCAAGACTGAAGCAGGTGAAAACCAGGTAAAAATCCAGTTTGCTTTATCTGGGTGTGGAAAAAAAGTGAATGGGATCCAAATTTCAGGCGGGACTAAAGGTGGACTAAACCAGGACTAGACTGCCCTTGACCGCCCTCTTGTGACAGAAAAGAGAATTTAAAATATTCAACTTGTGTTTTCCTTTTTGTAACATTTCAAATCTTCCTTTCTGAAGCGTTCTACACGAGAATAAACCCGCTAACACCCGGGATTTACGCACAGATTCAGGCATTACGCACGGGTTTTACGCACAGATTCTGGAATTACGCACGGGTTTTACGCACAGATTGGGTAAAACCGCGCTGCTGTTTCTAATCAGGTTAACGCGAGCGGAGATGGAGATGCCTGTCCAATTAGCGCGAGTGTCTCCTCTCCAGTACCCCGCCATATGCGAAGAGGGAGGCGGCCAAAGGAGCAGCCAAGCCCCGGTGCCAAATGATCCACCATCAGCAGGCAGCGCGGAGCCAAGGAGCCGTGACAGCGAGATTATACCGGGGAAGAGCGCTTAATCCCGGGGAAATCCTGGAGGAGGAGAGGGCGGAGGTGTGGGAGAACGGGGGGAAAGAAAGAAAGAAAGAAAGAGAGGGAGGAGGAGGAGGAGGAGGAGAGGAGGAAGAGAGGAGAAGAGAAGGTGAGAAAGAAGGAGAGGAGGGTAGAGTAGAGAGGTGAGAAGAGGAGGGGTGAAAAGGAGAGAGATGATGAAGGAGAGGGTAAGAGAGAGAGAGAGAAAGAAAGAAGGAGAGGAGGGTGGAGAAGAGAGGTGAGGGAGGGCTGGAAAGTAGAGAGAGAGAGATAATGAAGGAGGAGAGGGGAAGAGAGAGAGGGGGGGGATGGAAAGAAGAGAGAGAGAGATGGAAAGGAGGAGGGTGAAGAAGAGAGGTGAGAAGAGGAGGGGTGAAAAGGAGAAAGAAGAAGAGGAGGAGGGCTGAGAAGAGAGAGATGGTGAAGGAGGAGGAGGAGGAGAGAGAAAGAGAGAGAGAGAGGAAGGGGAGCAGGTGGAAGAGGAGAGAAAGAAGGAGAGGAGGAGTGAAAAGGAGAGAGAGAGATGAAGAAGGAGAGGGGAGAGAGAGAGAGAGAGAGAGAGAGAGGGGAGCAGGAAGAGGAGGAGAGAAAGAACGAAAGAGGAGAGGTGAAAAGAAGAGCGAGGGAGAGAAAGAGATGGTGAAGGAGAAGAGGGAAAGAGAAAGAGGGGAGGAGGATGGAGTGGAGGAGGAGGTGAAACAGAGAGAGGGAGAGGGAGGGAGAGGAGGAGAGAGGGGGGAAGAAGAGGAGGGTATGAAAGAGGAGAGAATGAGAAGAGGGGTGAAAGAGAGAGAGATGGACAGAGACAAAGAGAACGGAAGGAGGAGGAGAAGAGAGTTAGAGGGGTGAAAGAAAGAGAGAAAGAGGAGAGGAGGAGAGAGGGAAGAGAGAGGGGGTTAGACGAGTGAAAGAAAGAGAGAAAGAGGGGAGGAGGAAAGGAGAGGGGTGAAACGGAGAGAGACGGAGAGGAGGAGAGTGAAGAAGAGAGGTGAGGAGGGGTGAAAAGAGGGAGAGAGAGAGAGAGAGAGAGAGAGAGGCGGGAAGCGAGGAGGAATGAATGAGGAGAGAATGAGAAGAGGGATGAAAGAGTGAGCGAGAGAGAGTGAAGAAAGAGAGGAGATGGAGAGGACGAGGGGTGAAAAGGAGGAATAGAGAGGGAAGAAAGAGAGGGGAGAGAGAGAAGAGAGAGGGAGACAGATGAAGGAGGAGAGGGAAGAGAGAGAGAGAGACAGAGATGAAGAGAATGGAAGAAGGAGGAGAAGAGAGAGGGGGAGAGGAGGAGGGAGAGAGAGAAAGAAAGAGAGGAGAGAGAAGAGAGAGAGAGAGAGAGAAAGAGAGAGGACGGGAGGAGAGCGAGGGGGAATGAATGAGGAGAGAATGAGAAGAGGGATGAAAGAGAGAGAGAGAGAGACGGACAGAGACAAAGAGAATGGAAGGAGGGGGATGGATAGAGGAGTGAAAGAAAGAGAGAAAAAGGAGACAGATGGAGAGGAGGAGGATGAAGAGGAGAGGTGAGAAGGAGTGAAAAGGAAGAGAGAGAGAAGGAAGAGAGGAGTAGAGAGAGAGAGAGAGAGATGGTGAAGGAGGAGAGGGGGAAGAGAGAGAAAAGAGAGAGGGGAGGAGAGCGAGGCGGAATGAATGAGGAGAGAATGAGAAGAGGGATGAAAGAGAGAGGAGAGAGAGAGAATGGAAGGAGGAGGAGAGAGGGAAGACAGAGGGCAGAGGAGGGTTAGACGAGTGCAAGAAAGAGAGAAAGAGGGGATGAGGAAAGGAGAGGGGTGAAACAGACAGAGACGGAGAGGAGGAGAGTGAAGAAGAGAGGTGAGGAGGGGTGAAAAGAGGGAGAGAGAGAGAGAGAGGAGGGGAGGAGGAGAGGAGAGTTAGAGGGATGAAAGAAAGAGAGAAAATGGAGAGAGAGAGAGAGAGAGGAGGGGTGAAAAGGAGGGAGAGAGAGGGAAGAAAGAGAGAGGGAGAT